AGACAATTGTTAGGGCTTAGTGTTTGTGACTTTTCATCTATTTTTGAAATATTCTTCCTCCTCTCTTTCGCACGCGTTCAACAACCTCTCCGCTGCTACTTCACCTTCTGTGATCTTCAATTCATAACACCACCACCCACGCTCTCATCTGTCGCCGCCCTAGCCACACACACCTCATTCTCATATCTCCTCCTCCTCCTCTCTCTCTCTCTTTGATCTCGTATTCATATCTCTCGATCTCCTTCGATTCAGATGACTAAACTCATATGACAAAGACGATAAAAAACGACGAACACAAGAGCTTACCTTCCATCAGGTAAGCTCTTGTATCTGTCATTTTTTTATCGTCTTTGTTGTATGAATTCAGACGTTTGAATCGAAGGAGATTGATAGATATGAATGCAAGATCAAAGAGAGAGAGAGAGAGAGAGAGAAGCAGAGATATGAGAATGAGGTGTCTGTGGCTACAGTGATGGAAAATAAGAGCGTGTGTAGTGGTGCTGTGAGGTGAAGATCGGAGAAGGTAAAGTAGTTGCGACGAGGTTGTTGAACGTGTGCGAAAGAGAGAGGGAAGATAGTTTGTTTGAAGAAAGATGAAATGACATAACTTCTTAACCCTAGCACAAAGCCAAACGACACAGTTGCAATTTAATTCTTTTTTCTCATTTTTTTTAATTCTTTGTTATAATCAGAAATAATAATTGAAATAATAATTGAAAATAAATCTAAATTGGACTTGTGGACTCATGCACTTGGGCCATGTACTGAATTGTTGTTGCACACCTCCAGGGGGCCCGTTAGCACATAATCTTTAGAAGCCTGAAATGCCTTAGAACAAAAAAGCTTTCAGACTCTCAATGTTGGGCCTAGCGCCACTTTGGTGGACCAAACTCCCTGCTTGCTGCTTGCATCTCATGGGTTAATTAATTTCATTTTCTTGTTTTTACAATTGTTTGTTAATTGTTTCCAATTGTTTTTTTCTTCATCATGATAAATGTAAATATATTATATTTGTATTTTCTTTTATTTTTTATATTTTTGGATGATTCTTAATAACATGCTTCCTTAGGGTTCTTGATTTAATTTTAATCTTTGATTGAATTGAATTAAGATTAGACATTAGGCTTAATACCAAACATGATAACATTAGGGTTTTCTCTCAATCGCAACATTAAGCCCATCTTGCATGACAACGTTAGGGTAGAATTTCCATCTTACTTTTTCTTTCTTTTGCATTGCGTCCATTTCTTTTAAAAGACTAAAATTCTTTTCCTAATCAAATACAAAAATACTTAATAAATACGATACGTATAAATACACCACGAGCCTTAAGAAAATGGGAAAAGATGAGCGAGAGCCTTTCCTATATCTTCTTAGAGTACTTTGTACATGAGACGCTTGGCTAATTCGTACAAAGTATTCGCCCTCATTTATAGGCTTTAGTATAATACTTGTCTCAAATAAATTTAAAAACTAAAGGAGTAATACTCAAATATCCCTAGTCTTGAGGGACCTTTTGATGTATCTCCTAAAAATCCACTTCAACCAATTCAAACCTTTTTGCCTTCAGGCGTTTCCCTTTAAAACCTTTTCAAAAAGGGCATGTTATTTCCATTCTACTACAAACAGGTAATGCGTGTGTCTCCATACAATGAGCAGAACCACCTAACAGGGAGAACGCGAACATAACATCATCCACTAATAAACAACCAACAAACCAACACTTTTCAAAAGAACTACGGAGTTTTGATTCCCTTTGGGATACATATGCACATGGATGCAAGACCTTGGCAAACTCAATAATAAAAATCTTTTTTTCTCTAATCAAGTCATTCATGCATTTTTAGCAAGTTAGTAGATAACACACTCTTAAAAATAAACAACCAAAGTGGATCCTATTGAGTACAACATATGTGAGGGAAACTAATACCTTCCCCTTGCATAACCGACTCATGAACCTGTGACTTGGTACAAGACCATCTTATCCTTCCTCTTGTGGTTTTCTAGATCTTTTCCCTTTCCTTTAGATCCTAAAATCTCTCTTTAGTTTTCCCTATCTACAATTACAACCATCACTTTAATCCCTACCAGCCTCATTTTAGATGATGTCCAAACTTATTTTTATAATCAGTTGTTGGATCATTTCAACAATGCATCAAGAAGTAACACAAAATATCAGACCAGGTACTTTATAAATTTTAAATTATGGGGTGGTGCAAGTTCTAACTCTCCACTACTTGTCCTTTTAAGAGGAGAAGTTGCAGTTGATGGTAGCCCTGTAACTGTACATGACAGAAAATGCGGTTTCTTTCAAAGCTTAGTGTATATAGAGGTAATAAAGAAAAAATTCTTCAATTATTTCTAATCTAAGTCAAATTTGTATAACAAATTTTAATGACATTCATTGTTTTTCATGGTAAGCATCGCTTTTAGGGAAATTCAGTGCCTTTTTATTCCAAGATAGAACGAACAACATGTTGTGATATTTTAATTTGGCACAAGCTCTTGCTGATTACGCTGCAGTGTTGATACACTTAGAGGATAAGTCGCATGCTCAAAAATCTTCTGTAATTGTGGTCGAAAGATCTTAGCATCAGAGTTAATTTCTAAACTTTTGTTTTAAATTTTTGCTATTTTCTAAAACGTTTGATCAATTTACCATTATGAATGTGTACAATTCAAAATGGTGAATTGATGAAAAGAAGAAACAACTTGTGATTATTCATAACTGATTAATGAATATTATGCAGAGTAAAATGCAAATTATATAAAATGAAGTGTATCCAATATGTAATAATTAATAAATTACTTACATGTGATGTTACGAACGAATGGTTAAGACCAATCAAATATTGAAAGAAAAAAAAGTAATTAACGGTTTAATTATAATTAATCGAATATATCTAATAAATTAATAAAATTAATATTAGACACTTAATATAATACTCTCTCCATTTCTTTTTAAATGTCATTTTAGTATAAAACTCTTCAACCAAGATAGTGGATTATTAGAGTCATTTTTTCTATTATACCCTCATTTATTTTCTCTTTTCAAATAAATTCAATCATATACCATATCTCTTTTTTCAATAACTAATTGAGAAAATAATTAATTTTATGGAAAATGTGAAGTGGAGTTATTGAGAAAATAAAGATATAATTGACAAATGATAATATTAAACTATAAAAACGACACTTAAATAGAAACAAAAAAAATCTTCTAAAACGAAACTTAAAAAGGAACGGAGGGAGTACTTTATAACATTTTTTTAATTGATTTTTTTGTAACATTATATAGGCTTTTGGATATTTTTTCTATTCATTTCTTACTAACTATTTCCAATTTTAATCATTGTCAAAATCATAAATATCATATTTTTTTTTATTATTTAAATATTATTTTTGTTTTCCTATTTTAGGTAATTTTTAATAATTATATTTAGTTTATTTTATGTATTTTTTATCAAAAAATATCTAAAAAAGTCTCTAAAAAATTAAATCTTTTTCACTTGTTTTTTATTGGCCATTTTGTATCACTCTGACATTTGATTGACTAGCTTTTGGACCAACATAAATTTGGACTTTTTATTTTTGGATAATTTTCTTATTTAGTGTTTTTAACGTAATTTTACCCCTATAAATATTACTCTTTGTTAGAGATTTGGGTATGATAATCCTGGATAACTTCGAAGAATCGTGTTCGTACATTTTCCGAACAAAGTATTTCGATCCTATTCTTGTCTGAGTTCACGAAATCTTTGTGGGGATAATTCTTGAAGAACAATATGTTTCTGGCAAAAGAAAACTGATTACAAATGTAGAGAGAAAATATTGTTTTTCGTTCGTATCTGAAACCGAGGCCAAATGACTCCTTATATAGGAGATCAATAACTGAAACCGAAAAGACACACTTGTTCGAAAAAACGGTTATGTCGGTTGGGGACCGAAAAGACACACCTGTTCGGAAAAACGGTTATGTGGGACCCCAGCCAGGGGCTCCGCCCCTTGGACCCCAACGGGGCGCTGCCCCGCACCCCGCCAGGGGCTTCGCCCCTTGGAACCCCAACGGGACGCTGCCCCGTACCCCGCCAGGGGCTTCGCCCCTTGGAACCCCGTTTCAATTATGCATTGGCTCGACGAGCGTGCACTCCGCACTTCCCTAACTCGTTTCCGAACTTAACGCATAATTGCATCGGCCTTTAGTAAATCACATTACTACTAAAATACATTGGTGATACTAAAATCACCAACACTCTTATCCATCATAATTTTTTATCGATAAACTTGTTATCTTTCTTTCAAACTCTCACAATTCTTTTTTTAGTTTACTCTATGGTTGTTGACTTTAATAAAACAATATCATCAACAATCATTCACACATCCATAATTTTTCAAATCTTGTTGTTGTCTTTAGTAGACGTCAACAACCAACCACACGCATTACTCACATATCAACAATCACCTACAATTTTACACTTTGGCTTTTACACACATAATTATCAATAACTCTCACAATTTATTTTGGCCGATAATTAAATATGATATCACATTTTTTTATTTCAATTTTTATTTGTTTGTTGTCAAAATCATATGATGATTATCTGATGAGTATTTTCTTTCCTGTGTTACGGGAAAACACACTGACATATAAACTTAGCTCAAATCAAATTTATTCTTGCTTTTATCTTGTCAAGTTTCAACGGTCAATTATCCATATCGTGAACCTGTTAAACAAATCTCACAGACACTAAATTGATCATTTAAACCTTCTAATCACACGATCAGTCACCTGTAGTTTTTTTTAACAATATCAATACTACGATAAGTACAAACAACAACAACACTAATTAGATAAAATAGAACAACAATATCATATTAAAGTTGTAGAAAGTTTTATTTTATTTTTGCAGGATGAAAAAAAATAGGAATAAGGAGAAGGAGATTGAATCCAACACCACATTGGAAATCATAGATACTACCAATGCAGCTTCCCACCTCCGATGACGCGTCAACCGCCGCCACAGCTACTTCCTCGACGAACTCCAAACCGCGACTCCCTTCGTCTCTTGCGACCGCCACTCTCAGATGCCGTCCTCCACCATCTCACTGCCGGCATTTCATTTTGTATCAATAACTTTTCGTCTTCACCTTCTGAAATTGATGCATCTATTCTTCTAATATGATTAATTTGGAGTGTGATTTTTTTTATTGATATTTGAGGATTGAATTTGAATGAATGGAGAAAAGGGTGAGGGAGTATTGAAAATATGAGATAAAGAGAGGAGGAAGTTTCAGATCTTGGGTTTCTTTTCTCTGTAAAAAAACGGTGCACTTAAAAGAGAGTGAAGAAATAACTAATGTATTTATGTTTTTATTAATGTTGCTTCACAAGTGTCTTGTATTGTTTTTTACATTTATTTTTAGTGAATATTAGCCACTTTTCATCATATGATTGGCTTCTTGGTTTTGGGTTTAAAAAAAATGTTGAATAAAAAACTAGGAGAAGGGGGGTCATGTTTTTAAGTGCTTAAATGGGGGAAGGGTAATTTTTCCCATAATAATTTTACAAATTTCATTATTTAAGATAAACAATGAAAATTATCAAAAAAATCTAAAAATATTTTCCTTTTAAATTAGCTTTACTAATTTAGTCACTAGGTTTAATAACGATATTTTCATTATAAAAAAATATAAAATTATTCTTTTATTAGTACTTTAGTTATTAGGTTAGATGTTTTTACCTTAATCAATATATAATAAAAAAAATACGAAATAAAATATTTGTTAGATTATTTAAATTTATAAATATATTTAATTTTTCGAATAAATTAACACTCATACTAATTAATTATTCAAAATTAAAATATTAAAACCCACAAAACTCACTAAATCCTCCCTCCTTCATGACGAGTGTTGTATCCCAAAATTTGTCATCTCATTTCTCAAAGGATCATCCTGGACCATCGGGTTTGCTTCAATCCAACTTCAAGCCTTAAATTACAAATTTTCCAAGAAAGTCATTCACAAGGGCAAAATGGTCATTTGCACATTGAAAAGTCAAACTTTGACTTTTGGATCAAAATCAAGTTTCAAGAATCATATTTCATCAAGGCATGAAGTTTGTTTCATCAAGAAATTCAAAAGTCAAAATTACTTTGGAAAAGTCAAATTTCTAAATATTTAGAATTTTTCTAAGTGTTTAAGGAATATGGCAAGCTCAAAACTTCTGGCCAGATTTCCACCCTGATGCAAGCTGATTCTGAAAGAACTTCTAACAAAAGAGTTTTAGATCTCAATGAAATCCAAAACATTGTAGAACAGAACTTCTTCTAGAAGTGTTAGGATTTCAAGTTGTACGTCTTCAAAGACACATCTCTGAAACTTAGGCACTTAGTAAATTCTGAGCATTTTCAAGTCAGAAGTTGTGTACAACTTCTGGGCCAGTTTTCACGTAGGTTTAGTCAGAAGTCGCAAGAGTAATTCAAAGAGTGCTTACAAAGCATGTCATAAGCTTTCTGGAAAGTCTGAGAACTCGCTCAGAACATGCTGGTGCAAAGAGATTCAAGGATCAGAAGTTGGATGTTTGTTCTAAATTGCGCTGATGTTGAACTTCTGGCCTAGAATTAAGCTATGATGCACAATCTCATGGCGCAGGATTTCTGGTTTGATAAATCTCATCATCATTTAATGCTAACAATCACTTTTGAGTTTTTATTCAAAGGATTTTCCCACGTGTGAGATAGAAGTACCATTGTTGACCTTGAAAAGCAAATTTTTGTATAAGTTTATGTTGGGCCCATGCTTTGCTTTTGCCTCTGAGGATACTTTTCCTCAATTCATGCTTACAAATTCAGCTTAGGCACGACGAAAAGTTGCTAACCACCATACTTGTTTATCTTGCTTCAAGAACAAGCCAGCACGCTAGCATGATGTTGGTACTTTTGACTTCTTCAAGCTATAAAGTTATTGCCTATAAATTAAACTTCATTTGCAACTATGAAGGGGCCGGTCAGAAAAATTGAAAGGAAAAGCTTTGAAACCTTGCTAAAATTTCCAAAAATCCGAAACTACAAACACAAATACAAAACCTGCTAGTTTTTTATTCTTGCATTCAAACTTCAATTTCCTTCAAGTGTTTCTTGACCAAATCATCCATTCACCATTCATAACCCAAGCTAAAGGTTGTTCCAGCCTGCTGAATACGTTAGGAAGCTAATCAAAACATTACAAGCAGTCAGAACCAGACTCCAGCTCACAGAACATTTTTAGTTGCAAGGTAAGCTTATTCTAACCCTCATTATATCACTTAAGCATTGTTAGACTTGCATGTTCAAAATACAATGTAGACATCCTGATTCTGATGCTGTACATATTGTGAGGTTTCATGTATTTGTCTGCCTAAATAGGAAGAACATCAGTTCAGAACTTCTTAAGGAAACTTGGACTAGCAGATACATGCTTGTTTTTGATTTATAGTCTTGACATTTTTTATGCCTCTGAAACCATGATGGAAAAACTGCCACAATTGTTATGTCTGTGTTTTCTGTTCTGTTGAGATTTAACTAAGTTGCAGATGTTCTTATTAGCCTGAAGAAAGAATTGGAGTTCATCATCAGAGTTTACATTGTGATACATGTTTATGCTTTTGCTTCTAATACCGGATGTACAACCATCCCAGTGGCAGACAGTGTGTGCGCATAAGACATTAGTGCTAAGGGTCCTGGGTTCTAGCCCCAGAAGCATCTTTTTAGGTTTATTTATTGACATTTTTACCCATTTATCTGTCAGACGATACTCCTAAATCAGAACTTCTAGATATCCTCACCTAACAACATAATCACTTTTCTCTCTCAAACAATCAGAACTTCTGACTTGCCAGAGATATATGAACTTCTAGATTCCCAGCTACGCTGTAGCTTATAGACCCCTCAACCTCAGAGCTTGGTGTACCCAGGCCCGAAACTTCTGACCCTCCATTTTCTCACTAACATTTTCTCTTTTGCCGCGTATCAGAGTCAGAACTTCTGTTCCTTCTCGTTTCAGCAACGTGCTGATTCTGACTCCCTTTTCTCTTATTTATTTTATTTTAGATTTTAAATAACCAAAAACACCAAAAATATTTCATATTCACATGTTTCATTTTATTTCTTTGAGAACAAAAAGATCAAAATATTTTCTTAAGTAAACTTATTTCTTAACAAAAACAAGACAAGTTTGTTTCGATTCTTATACATTATTTCAATATGGTTGTAATAGATAATTAGGATTTTAATTTCTTGCAATCCCCATTCATAAATTTGTACCCCTAAATCTTTGTAATAGCGTAGGACATTTAAATTTTGCAATTTACTGTTTTCAATATTATTGCCAGTAATTATGATTTGTATGGAAAGATTAAAACCAACAAATAGAAAACCCTAATCAAGACAAATCAAGCATGTAAACCAATACACTTGCACACATATACCCTTAAGGTAAATCCACTTTGTTTCCTTATAAAATGGCCATATTATGCATGTGAGGTATCTTAGCAAAAACAAGCAAAAATACAAGATCATAGTCCCTCGATGATGCTATCCATGTTGCCTTTCAAAATGATCTTAGTCCCTTAAATATAATGCTAAGATATCTTACAACATTGCTAATCATGGCTATACGGTGACCCTTGCCCGTCCTTTTTACATCCAAAGATAGGGTTACTTACCAAATCAACGGTAAGATAACAATGTCAAAGGAAAGAGGGAATAAACATGAAAGACTTTTGAGTAGGTAGTTTGTTCCTAGTTGCTTGCTCAATTTCAAACCAAAACATCCTTGCTATTTTTCAAAATAAACACCAACACTTTCAAAAACATCTTTCAAAATTGAAAACATTATCAAAAGATCAACACTTTGTATACATTCTTACGAACGAGAATCATTACAAAGTTTTCCTAAACGATGGCACCTTTTCAAAATACTTTCAAAAAACAAACAAAGCATATTTTCAAACAAAAGCAAGTGATCTAGCATGCAACTAAGAGCCCACAGAAAACCATGGATGAAAAGGGTGCTAATACATTCCCTTTTCATAATCTACCCCCCGAACTCAAGAAAACATCTCAAAGGTCTTTCCTATTCTTTTCAGCCTTTCCTTTTGGATAAAAGAAAAGTAGGTGGCGACTCTTGCTAAACTGCAACATTTGCGATCAAACGCAAAACAACCAAGTCAGTTCTCCCACCGCGTTACAGAACTGGCGACTCTGCTTGGGAAATTTTTGAAGTGGGGTTACCTTAGGGTTATATCATATTTACTTGCTTTCATTATTTGACTTGTATGCTTTACATTTTGGTTCTTTGTTTGGGTTTGAATCCTCTACCCGGATTTGGGATACCTTATAGGTGAGTAGCAATACGTTGTGGAAACTGTGCAGGGTATACCGACATGGTCTAAGCAATAGCTATGTTAGTGTGACATATTTGTAGGTACCTGTATCCCTTGAGTAGTAAAGGAGAATACGGGGCCACTGAGTGATGTCATGAAGCACTAACTAACTTCTAGAACCTTTACTTGACCAACTTGGACATTAGGACGTAGTGAGATGACCGGCTTTGGTGCAGTTTGAAGTTGGTAGATACTCGATACTACACTCATTGAGGTTTGGTTTTTTGGGATATTTCGATCGTCATTAAAGAGGCTTGGCTGAAACAATGCTCGAGAAAACAAACCAGTGGTATTGAGCTCCCTTAGAACTCGGTTACTATTGCTAGGACAGGTTTGAGCCAACTAAACTTCAAGAGGATACTTACCTATGAGACTCCATGTAAGCCTAAACCTAAGGACTTGTTTGTTTTGTTTGTATATATTTACTTGTACATAACATCATAAACATCATAACATCATACTCATACTCACTAACCATTTCAAGGATTTTGGGATTTATCTTTGTTCTGTTTTGTAGGACATGGATTCTATTCGCAGGAAAACCATTCAAGTCAATCTTGTAAGAATCCCTTCTCAACTTAAAGAGTTAGCATCAAGGGTTCCCGAAAATTCTCCATTCACCGAAAGACATGGTCGCCTCCTAAACTTGGTTACCTCCAACACTGATGGGGACATGATGAAGGTGCTCTTCCAGTTCTTTGATCCTCTACACCATTGCTTCACATTTCCTGATTATCAACTTGTGCCAACTTCGAAAGA